TCCTTTCCCTATTAACTCACATAACCATAGCACAATTATCAAAATCAGAAACTAACATTAGTTTAACACGAGTACCTTAACAGACTTTATTTGGATTGTGTCAGTTCTCTCACTAATATCCATTTTTGGTGTCAGGATCTTGTTCAAGACTCCATATCATATTTAGATACTTCTTCCTGGTCCCCAATTCTGTAACCATTCTTCAGTTTTCCACATCTTTCATCTTGACACTTTTTAAAGAGTATTGGTAAGCTATCTTGTACAAATATCCTTTAGTTGGGTTTGTCTGATATTTTTACCTGATTGCAATGAAGATATGTAATTTTTGTAGTTATATTACAAAAATGAAGTATACTTCTCAGTTATAATATTAAGGGGTTCATGCAACTTTCACTGATGATTAACCTCAATCACTTTGTTGAGGGAAATCTGAGTTTTCTCTACTGTATTTACTTTTTTCCATTGTAATTAATACATATCTTGAGAGACACAATTTAAGACTATGCAAATCCTGGCTTTTCAACTTTTGGCCACTCATTTGGCATTTTAAGATTTCTTCACTAAAATAGGCCCCAAATTATCCCTACCTCTTAGGATTTATACTCTTTTGTGACCCCCCCCCCCCCAGTGTCCCAGGGTTGGTATGTTTGGCAGAATTAATATGTCATTTCCAAAACCAGGCTATAAAAGATACCAGGGTTTTCATTGCAGGCAAACTGCAGGCATGTTCTGTCAATATCTTTCCCTTTCTTGGATCACTTGTATGGAAAATCAGTAACTGTGTTTTTAACAGCCCTATGAAAAGTCCTTCATAGCAAGATTTTGACATCTCTGGCCAACAGCCACATGAGTGAGTCTGGAAGTAGATTCTCCAGCCCCAGTCAAGCCTCTGATGACTGCTGCCCTGGCTAACAACTCAAAGGCAGCTTCTAAAAGACCCAGAACCACACGGATAAGCTCTTACTGGATTCCTAATCCACAGAAACTATGAAGTAATGTATTTTGTTTTATAGCACTAAATTTTAGGGTAACTCATTACACAGCAATAGAAAACCAATCACTTAATCTGCTATTACTGGAAAACAGAAATGTCTATGTTCATTTAATCACCACATTAGCCACTGTCTCCATTGCACAGATGAGAAACCAAAGTGTGGCAGATTTTGAATCGGCCATTAAAAAGCTATTCACAATCCCCTTTTCCCCCTTGTATTCTTCCAGCACAGAGGCTGAAAAGCTAAAATATTTACTTCCCAGATTTCTTACATTTAGTGGTGGCCACCTAACATTATTGACTAATAAGATGTATGTAAGAGTGTGCTGGAAAAGGACTTCTATTGCTGAGCAAAGGACAAAGCCTTAGGAAAAGGCTTTTGGCCTATTTATCTTTATCCTGCCTGGAAAACAAAGTTAGCTCAGCCTCACGGCAGCCTGGAGAATAGCAGCCATCTTGCATGAAGATGGTAAATCCTGTAATTTAAGGATGTGGAAAAGAGAAATAGGATCCTAAATCCACGATTCCCTCGAGCAGCTGACCCTTCTGGTATGTCTGCCTTCAGACTTCCTTTTGCCCCAAACTAATAAACCCTTTACTTTCACAATCTATTGCTCAGTCAAGTTTCTGTTGTCTGAAACAGGGCATCTTCCCAACTAATATAACAGTATAAAAGGAGAGGTAACTCAAATCCAGGTCTGCTGACTTCCAGCCCTAGATTCAGATGGTAATGATACCACCTGAATAAACACTAAATCAAACTGGACAGTTTTGACGCAGACATGGCCAGGTGTCCTGCAGATAGTAGTCCTGG